TTTTCTTATAGATGGCTGCGAAATGAAATTGATTTATGGCTTTAAATTCAATTCACTGACAAACAAGTGGTCTTGGTCGTCCACTACACCTACTTTTTATGGACTTCATGCAATCAAACAAAACAAAAGTAGCATATAGATAGTAAATTTTTAAAAAGTATAACTTTCGTTATTACTAAATACAAAATGATGTTATATTCTTTTATCGTTTACCAGTTATGTATTAAAATTATAATAGTGACTGTTACACATTCTTATGGTACACAATATGCATATAAGTACAAAACAATTTATGATGTATGGAACATTATTTTATATTTAAGCAATATTGAGAGATCAATATATGTGAAATTAATATACAATATATAAATAGTGTGTATTTCATTTCAATAAATTAATTATATAATTACATTCAATACATTTTGCAACAATACGATATTATGCTCAAAAATACCCCAATTTTGACAATCGCATCAACTTCTATTAGATTGTTAAGGTTTAATAAAATATCCCGCCAGTGTTTTTGTTCGTACATTTGTTCCACATTTCATATCATGATTTCAAATGTTCCGGGTTCAAAAATATATGTTATTCACACTCTCGTTTAGTCATATGTTTTATCGTATCAGCAAATACTACTATCTTCAATACTACTTATCTTCGAAACGCTTCAACAATTCATATGAGGCTTTATATGTGACAACTCTTGCAAAGTATAAACTAAAGCGTTCGTATAGTAAGTTAATTTATGTATTAATTTATGTAAAAAATTTTCATTCAAATTTTACAAAGAGTATACATGTTGTTATTTTTATTTTTTCTATATATCATCATCAAAGTATTTAAAATTCAAAAATTGCAAGATTATTAAAATTCATCCAAATACTTTTTCTAAATTGGTGTTTCTTTTAAATACACGTACCAAAGTTGTGAATCTATGTTTCACATAACACATATACATTCTATGATTTACGTGTATACAAATTTTAGCTCTAGAGCCACGACTGTGCCATTTTTGACCCATCTAATAGGTCTTTCTTTTTCAGTTAATATATAAATTTGCACTTGGAGTTTCAGATTTTTATGACTTTACATATATAAAATTATAATTAATTTTAAGTAATTTTTTTTATAGTGATAACCCTCGTAAAAATTCATATTTATCTTGAACAGCGATTGGGTCAATTTGATCCAATTAATGACAATCAGTTTATTTTTATTTCATTTTATCAGGATCGGTTTTTGTTTCACTTTGCGCGGGACTATTTATGACAATTGAACGCCACGCCTCCGTCCAGTGAAGGAGAGGGGGATAGTATATAATGTATGAAAATGTTTCAAAAATACTTTGTACAAAAATATTTAGTCACGTCCAAACTCGCGTGCTTCTTGCTTTTATTTCACTTATACTATAATATTGTCGTTGACTACGTGTAGACTGAATGGAACATTCAGTCTACGTATAGTCAACGAACTGTAATAAAAATGTATTATTTAATTACCACGTCCATCTATTCAAAAATCACAAAGGAGTAATATATATTATAGAGTTGGTAATAATTATTTAGTTAACTAGTTAAAAGTTAAATAAAAAAGTTAATAACTTTTAAAATATCTTAGTTAATTTTAAATATATATATATATGTAAGAGATAATTTTTAACTTCAATTAATTATTAAAACACATAAACTTTCAATTATTAACAATTTCTCCTAAATTAAAAAAATGTTTTATATCTCTAAACGTTAATATTCTTTTTCTGTAAAATTTTAAATATTAAAAATATAATTTAGAAAATCTCAATAATCGTAACATGAAGCTTCAAGTGCCCAAAAGTGTATGGAAATTGACAAACTTATAAGTACATTCCATTTCATGTATAATGCTGACAATGCATAATTTATCTTTGTTACAACATTCGATGAACAAACAAAGATAAATGACGTATCACGCGCATTATGCGTAAAACGTAATGGATTCTGTATTCAAAAAGCGCTATCAGCGCTATAAACAGAATGACAGAATAGCGCTGATAGCAACAATAATATGCCTTCCGAAGTCCCGAATGTAGTCTTATTATTAGTAGGATAGAAATTATATTAAAGATTATTAAAGCAAATATTAAATCAAATATTAAAATATGATTACGCATATTGTAATTGTTTTATTTGGATTTAAAGTAATCTAATTTTAATTACGACATTCTAATCTAATATAATAAATTTAAAATTAACTTTAAATTTAACTTTAGTTAATATAATCTTAACTTTTATCTGAATTACTTTTTTATTTATGCCTTTAACGTGATTAAATTAATTTTTTAGTCGTTAATTTTAACTTAATTTAGTTAAAAAAATATTAACACATTCTTACACAATCTTAATGGTCATAAGTCCGCATAAAAATAAACTACTAGTGCAGTAAAAACACTACTAAAATGTAATAGTGTTATTACTCATACCAGCAGTGACACTGCTACATTTCAGTAGTGTTTCAGTAGTCACTGCACTAATACTTAGTTTATTTTTAATAATGTGAGAATAATCCATCCGCAGTTTTAAAGAAAGCCCAAATCGTAGTGTCAAAAGTTTTCCAAAAAAACATTTTTTTTCGGGTTATCTGAAGAGAAAATAATTTATTATTTCAAAAACATAGCAAAAAGCAGACTTTTGTATTATAAATTAATGTAAAAATTTTATATTAATATTTAAAAGTTTTATTTGTAGTGGACTATATAACGTTCTCTCTCTCTACTACTACGTGTCCATTATCCTTTTAAAACAGATCCAATTATTTAAATTTTGTAGTATAAAATTAAAATAATATTCCAGATATATTCTTGTTGTGTGTTTTTTATTGCTTATCAAAGAATCATTGATGCAGTTTATCTTCTAAACTGTAAATGCAATTGTGTTTAAACACAAACATGATAACTTTAAATGCTCTCAAGCATATCATTGGATCATGGAAAAGCATTTCTCGAAACAGGTATAGTGCCAAATTTTGTAAATATATTAAATCGTAAATTATGTAATATATATATCAATATATCTAGTCAAGTTTTTAAACTACTTGTACTTTCTTATCTTTAAAATATGCGGATAAAGTAAAAAAAATTTATTGTTGTATACTTATATAGAAATATTCCGTTCACCTAAATGAAAATAGATCATTTATTATAGATTATCAAGAGCTACCGTATCAGGAAACACATATATCAAAATAATCGCCAGATCAATATCGACAGTGGATCCTAAGGAAGTTGAAAACATGTCTAGAGTGGCACACAAGTGGTGGGATGAGAATGGTCCAACAAAAGCCCTTCATTTGTACAATCCGCTCAGAATACAACTTGTAAAAGATGGATTGGTAAACGCCGGAATCAAAATGCAGAATTCAGATCTTCCGTTAAAAGAAATGAAGATTGCGGAAGTTGGCTGCGGCGGAGGTATATTGACTGAGGCTTTAGCTAGAATAGGAGCGCAAGTAACCGGAATAGATGTATCGGCAGAATTATTAAACATTGCTAAAGAACATGTAAAATTGGATCCCAATATATCAAAGAGAGTGAATTACATTCAGACAACCGTGGAAGATTTCGCCGAAAACGAGAGAGAAACATATGATGCTGTTGTAACTTCTGAAGTTTTGGAGCATGTAACAGATCCACAAATGTTTTTAAAGGTATAATATTGTAATAAAAAATATAAGATTAATTATTTGTAAATACAATCTACATAAAAATTAAACGTTATGAAAATATTCTGCACAGGAATGTGTGAAAATTGTGAAACCTGGCAAGTCGATTTTTATAACGACGATAAACAGAACTCTAACATCTTGGCTATCCACTATTGTAGCAACCGAATATATTTTCGGAGCTATACCTCGTGGTACTCATACATGGAGTAAATTTATTGCTCCGCACGACGTTCAACATATATTAAAAAATTGTAAGTTTCATACTTGGTTCCTGAAGAAGTTTATAAAAGCATTTTGTTGCATAAAAATTATATCTGCATAATTATAATAAGTTCACAACAAGTATTTCTACACTGATATTTTCTTATAGATGGCTGCGAAATGAAATTGATTTATGGCTTTAAATTCAATTCACTGATAAACAAGTGGTCTTGGTCGTCCACTACACCTACTTTTTATGGACTTCATGCAATCAAACAAAACAAAATTGACATATAAATAGTATTTAAAAAGTACAACTTTCTTTATTATTAAATACAAAATAATTGTATTCTTTTATCGTTTATCAGTTATGTATTATAATCATAATATTGATACTATTAAAGATTTTCATGCTATATGCATGTAAGCACAAAAAAGTTTATAATGTATGAAATATTCCCTTATTTAAGCAATATTGAGAGATCGATATATGTAAACTTAATATACAATATATGAATAGTAAAATGATTCGGTTGTCAAATATTAATTGCGTTTAATTGCTGCTCTCAAATTCCAAGAGATAGCTAACGTCTAAACCCGAAAGGTTATTCTTAATTGTTTTCCTCACACTCGCGAACATTTTTCTCAAACAAAAAAAAATAAAATATTCAATAATCTAACCGATAATCTTAAAACATAACAATCCAAAGTTCGTCTTATTTTTTAATTTAAACTTAATTGAAATCCAACGTCTTCTCTTCGGTCCAATAAACGCTCGCCACGATATTGCTTCGATATCGTGCGACAGATATAAAAGTGACGAACTACACGCAGCACGAACTTTTGCTGCTCGGCCGATTACGTTAAAGTGTCCTTTATTGTGATTCAAACTCTACTCGTGCTAAAGTAACAATTTATTCGTTAAGTTCTGTGATAAATTGTGACTCATTAAATCAAAGGACATTAAAATTACGAACGCGTAGACATTAATCAAGGACTCCAATTCAAAATCCAGTCAATTCTAAAAACCTTGTCAAACCTTGTCAAAGAATCACTGATGCAATTTGTCTTTTAAACTGTAAATGTAATTGTGTTGAAATACGAACATGATAACTTTAAACGCTCTCAAACACATCAACGCATCATGGAGAAGCATTTCCTGCAGGAACAGGTATGGTGCCAAATTATGTAAATGTACATTAAAGTCAAAAGATAATCTTAATTTACAATCAGACACGGAATTCTTACACCACGTGTATGTGGTTTCAATTGTTAGTAAGCTCTGAATTATGCCCGTTTTATTTCCTTGATTTTCACATCTCTTTATTGTATTGGTATTTCAAGTCAGTGGCTCGTACTTGTATCATTTCTATATACCGACTTCAATTGCGCACACTTTACATTCGTGATTGCTTTTATATTTCTTACATCCTTTAAAAATTTTAACTTCTGACTATTTTTTTATTGCAACTTTCACTTATTTTTTAAAATTTATTTATTAATGTTTTGCGTTGCACTGTACGTTTTTTGGCTTTTGTTCTCTGGCACGCTTGGTAAGTTTATCTTTAATCTTTATATATAAGTTGAGTTTACATTTTAAAAGTTAGGACAGATCATCATTTTTAAGCTTGTCTTTTTCTGTAAGATCATTCAGCTTACCGATCATGACGTATAATGGATGAACCCATAAACCTTATCATATGTGCGGAGAATGAAAGGCATCATCAATGTATCTGTATTGCTGAAGATAACCCAAATCAGACCGAAACGTTCAACTGATGTTATTAGAGAATACTTATTAAAACGGTTAAATTTTTTCATACACCAAGTACTGCGTTGACTTTCATCTCTCTTTTTTCTTACTTTGTTTTTTTTTAATTTGAGAGTCCGTTAGTTTCTTCGTTTATGTAAATGTATTATCTCGTGAATTATGTATCCATATATCTGGTTTAATCGTGTCTTAAAGTGATCACTACTTATCGCACGTGTCTACTACTTATCGCTACTTCAAATTTATTATATTTAAAACACACGTATGCAATATAAAAATTTTATCATGACGTAATACATAACATAAAAATATCTGTTTAGCAACTTTTAAAATTTTTTTTTTTTGCAACTTTTAAAATTTCCCAAATGTCACGAGGGTTTGATTATGTCAAGAATACGGCTCTCTCATTTTCCTAAAAGATTTGACGAAGTCTAGATCTTGTAAGAATTCGATGTCAATTTAAAATTGTAAATTATGTGGGAGACAAATAGCGCGATTTTTAAGATTCTATGATCAAACATGCTTTCAAATACACACACACACACACACACACGTGTACGCGTATGCAAATACAAACAACTTTTTGTAGAACGCTCGGCAAGTAAATTTTGATACCTACGGTACATTTCTATGCAAAATCATGAGAAATTATAAGCGAATTTTTAAAAATCTAGTATCATACTAAAATTCTCACACGATAAAATTATATTATAAATATTATAATGCTTGCAAATAATTTTACGCTATACATTACAAAATTTTTTCATTAAATATCTTACACACCAAAGTAAATTTGTACGCCTCCTCGATAGTTTCATTCATGCTCCTTTTATGATCCGTGGATATAGCAAATTTACTGCACACGCAAAAGAAAGAATCAATTTAAGATCATGTTTAACTATAGAATCTTAAAAATCGCGCTATTTGTTGTACCCCTCAAAATTTACAACTTTAAATCGACGCCTCATTTTTATAAATCTAACTTTGCCAAATCCCTTGGGGAAATGATAGAGAGCCGTGTCTCCGACACAACCAAATCCTCGTGACCTTTGGAAAATTTTCACAGGCACACAGAGTAATAGATTTATTGGTAAATATCGTATGTGTTTTAATAGAAATATCAGGTCAATATCAACAGTAGATCCTAAAGAAATTGAACACCATTCTGCTTTGAAAGACATTTGGTGGGATAAGAACGGTCAATTAGGTGGCCTCCATGCGTACACTCCGTACAGAATACAACTTGTAAAAGATGGACTGGTAATTGCTGGAGTCAAAATGCACAATTCAGATCTTCCGTTGAAAGGAATAAAGATTGCGGATATTGGCTGTGGCGGAGGTATAATGTCCGAGGCTTTAGCTAGACTAGGAGCGCAAGTAACTGGAATAGACGCATCGGCTGAATTAATAAATGTTGCTAAAGAACATGTGAAATTGGATCCCAACATATCAAAGAGAGTGAATTACATTCAGACAACCGTGGAAGATTTCGCCCAAAACGAGAGAGAAACATATGATGCTGTTGTAACTTCTGAAGTTTTGGAGCATGTAGCAGATCCACAACTATTTTTAAAGGTACGATATTGTAATAAAAGATATAAGATTTATTATTTATAAATGCCATCTACATAAAAATTAAATGTTTTCGAAATATTCTGTACAGGAATGTGTGAAAATTGTGAAACCTGGCAAGTCGATTTTTATAACGACAATAAACAGAACTCTAATATCTTGGCTATCCACTATTGTGGTAGCCGAATACATTTTCAGAACTATACCTTGTGGTACTCATCAATGGAATAAATTTATTGCTCCACACGAAGTTGAACATATATTGAAGAATTGTAAGTCATACTTAATAAGTTAGTCCAGAAAAAATTAAAAAATCATTTTGTTGCATACGCATATCTGCATAATTATAATAAGTTCACAACAAGTACAAGCATTTCTACACTGATATTTTCTTATAGATGGCTGCGAAATGAAATTGATATAAGCTCTTCTAAATTCATTGTCAGTGAAAATTTCTTAATCCTTTTCCTATATTTTATAGATGGTAGCAAAACGAAATTGCTTTATGGCATGAAATTTAATTCACTAACAAAACAATGGTCTTGGTCGTCCACTACATCTACTTATTATGGACTTCACGCAATCAAACAAAACAAAATTAGCACATAGATAATATTAAAAAAGTATAACTTTCTTTATTATTAAGTACAAAATAATATTACATTTTTTATCGTTTACCAGTTATGTATTGCAATCATAATATTGATACTATTAAAGATTTTTGTAAGTACTATATGCATGTAGCACAAAAAAGGTTATGATGTATAGAATAATATTCCTTAATATATTAAAATATTGTATATATGAGATCAATATACAATATATGAATAAACTATGTATTTTTTATTTTAATAAATTTACAATTATATAGTTATATTTAATATATTTTTTACATCAGTACGATATTATATTGGAAAATGTTTAAATTTTGACAGTCACACGTTGACAGTCAGACTAACAAATACTTGTGAAAATATAAAATAAGACACTCGTATCACCATCAGAGGCAGATTGAGCGCAAGTTTGTCGTCACATTGGCCTAGTTTATACCGAGCATTTAATACGCGTACTAGAAACTTTCTATTAAATTATCTTAATTTCTGCAATGCATTTAAAGAATAATATATTAAGCTAATACACTATGCATTAAGATAATTAATTAAATACATATATTATGTATACGTTTATACGCATCGTCAAAATTAAGAAAATTTAATAAAAAGTTAATAGTTAGTATGCTTATCAAATGCTCTGTGTAAACTAAGCCATTAATAGACGTGGCGTTCGTCACAGTCACAGAGTCGTCAGTCGTCATCTCCATACGCTTCTGAACGGGTGTGAGTTGCATTTGTACGAGTATAAACGGAAAAATATTTGATTATGCTCGAAAGAAAACTTTAGCGACAACGTCATCACGTTAGGTTAAGCACTAATTGAGACATGTTCGGGTGCGTGTGTTTTGTTCCGATTTGAGACCACACCTTCAAAGCGAGAAAATGTACTACATTTCAGTAGTGTTATCACTGCATTAGTAGTTCTTTTTTGCGAGAATTGTACGTGCATGTGTAAACATTGTGCGTGCTCAACTGATTTAGATCAAACGATAAGACATTATGCGAAGTATATTGAAGTATTACTTTCGTATCTCTCGTTTCGATCGCACGTATATATGTACGTGCGCGTTTTTATTTGTCTTGCGGCTGTTATTCAGTGTCGATTTCTGCCTTAATTAAATTGTGGATCCGTTTCCCTTTGGTACAGGACGGGAATTACTATTATATCTCTAAGAGATCAAGCTCTGAATTCTCTGTGAGAAAATTATTTATGTAAGAGATCGAGTAAGTCCATATGAAAAGTTTCATTCCATCCCTGGTGAAAATAAAAATCGGAGCGTAAGTCGAACGTAAGGAGAGTAAGGGGAGAGTGACAGAAGCGTAAACAAAACTTCTAGGTGGCAAAAATTGAAACAGCGGAATGTTAAGGAAACGTTTTAAAATAAACATTTTTGAAATGTTAATAAAATATTTCTTCAAACGTTAAAATAAAGTTTTTTTTAATAAAAAAAGAGCACTTAACCCATTATTTTAATGTTTTTAAAAATGTTTTTACAAATATTTTTCAAATGTTTTTAAAAATATTTTCTAAAACGTTGTGTACTGATTGGGTTACTGTTACGTGTTCATCATTATCTTTTAAGCGATAGATCCAATTAGTTAAATTTTGCAGTAAAATTAAAAAATTATGTTTCAGATATATTCTTGACGTATGTTTTTCATTGCTTGTCAAAGAATTATTGCAATTTGCCTTTCCAATTATAAATGCAATTGTGTTTAAATACAAATATGATAATTTCAAACGCTGTCAAGCATATCAACGGATCATGGAGGAACATTCCTCGAAACAGGTATGATGCCAAATTATATAAATATATTAAAATTATATTAAGTGAATTATGTAATATATGTGATATATCTAGTTTAATCGTGTTTTAAACTACTTGTAACTCCTTAAAACACATTGATCAAATATCAAAATTATTATTTGATTATTATGTAAATTATACAAAAGTATTTATTCATCTAAATAGGCATCATTTGTTATAGATTATTAAAAAACATTGTACGTATCAACAAAAATATCAGATCAATGTCGACAGTGTATTCCAAGAAAGTTAAACGCTGTTCTGATTTGACAGACTTTTGGTGGGATAAGAACGGCCCATTAGGTGGCCTCCATACGTATAATCCATTCAGAATACAACTTATAAAAGATGGACTGGTAAATACCGGATTCAAAATGCAAAATTCAGATCTTCCGTTGAAAGGAATGAAGATTGCGGATGTTGGCTGCGGCGGAGGTATATTGACTGAGGCTTTAGCTAGAATAGGAGCGCAAGTAACCGGAATAGATATATCGGCAGAATTATTAAACGTTGCTAAAG